CAAAAAATATTACAAAAACAAAATACTAGGTGTATCCCTGATAGTTGGGTACATTAGACGAACTTGCACCAGGAGCTGGATTACCACCGCCGCCCAGACCAACTGAAGGACATTTACGACGATCGTGTCCTGTTTGCAAGCATATGCCATATTTACGTGCATAAACGGTATCACCAACATCCATTTGATTCCGTATACGCGTTCTCTTTTGCACTTGTAGCTTTCGCAAATAGTCCTTGTTACACAACATTTTAAATGGTTCCGGTGGCCAATCTTCTCATCGCTATTGGCATAAATTCAACACCTCTGTCCATCAATTCCGATGTAGCTCTATGCCTTTCAACAAACCTCTCCGCCATCTGTTTGAATGTCATCCGGATCATGACAGTGACAGGAAATCCACTTCAATAACCCGTTGAATGACTCCGACACATTTGTAGTCAGGGCTCCCCATCGTCTGCCACCATCAGCATGCAATGTCCACTTATGAAGCTCATGTCCCATCAACCAATCATAGGCTCTTTCGTCTAACTGCCGTATCGATTCCATGCGCCTCCTGAATTTGCACTGCTGGTGCTCAGTTGCAGCCATCCACATTAAATCATGCAAGTCCTTGTTGGGATATTTCTTCTGGAAATTGGCCTTCAGGTGCCTCACACAGTAACGGTGGTATGCATAGGGTTCCTGCCATTCAGGCAAATGCCATACAGAACTTAAAATACCACCATGCCGATCAGATATTAGACAAATACCTGAACGCTGTTTGACAACGTGCTGCTTCAAGTGGTTCAAAAATAGCGTCCACGTCTCTTCGCTTTCATTGGCACAAATGGAAAAAGCTAGTGGAAATATTTGTCCATTGGCATCTACTGCAACGGCGATCAATAGCTTAATATCATACTTTCCATAGACTTGAGTACCGTCTATGGAAATTACCGGACGGCAATGCCCAAAACCATCAATTGCTGGTTTAAATGCCCAGAACATGTATCTGAATACATATTCCGATATTCCTAGACTCCGCTCATGCTTCCATTCAACAACAGTCCCGGGGTTAAAGTGTTTCAGTGCGGCCATTTACCTGGGTAGAGATGAAAATGACTTATCCCAGTCATCATAAATAATTTCAAATGCACGCTTGCGCCCGAGATATGCCTTTCTTTTGGTAATAGTACATCCATATTCCTGGTGAACGGATTTAATACACTCTTTGATCTTGTACCTAATGGACTCTTCCAAGTGTGGAATCAAGACAAGAGAAATCAAGTCAACATCCAAGTTGAAGTGATTCTCATTGAATGTGTCTAGTTCACAATTGTGGGTGCTAATATATTTACCCACTTTCCACAATCCTGTTTCCTTCTTGCTCGCACGCAGCATCCAGTTACAACCCATAAAGTATCTACGGCACATGACCTTGTATACCTTCGGAGTTGACTCTCATACCATCATCTCACGACACTCTCTTATGCTGTACATTTTACAAGCCCTGGATAGGCGAGCTTTATCGGAAAAATACACGCCCTTTGCCATCACCGTTGGTCTAGACTCATCCCACATTGCTGACCGAATTTCGTCAAGATCCCTTGTGAGGGCATCCACATCCGGCATACTTGGTAAATTATCAAGGTAAGGAATATGCCTTGAATGAAACGACACGTGGGACTCGTACACTCTTGGTCTAATGGGAGGTGGAGGAGCATGCTCCCTCGTCAGCTCAGGTTCGACATTCACTTCCTCCTCATCATCACCCTCGTCAGGGAAGGGTGTGTCATCTCCAGACTCATCGGCATTTTTGTCATAATCACTATTATCTTCCTGACTTTGCGCATCTGCCAAATCACGAGTAAATACGTCGTCTACGGGAAACTGAGTGAGGTCAGGACCATTAAGTTGCTCGTTTTCACTGCACAAAAAAAAAAACAAAATGATAAGCTACTCAAATTGATAAATACTTTACATATAGCTATATCACTTCACTTACAAGTCGTACTGTGTTGACATTCCATGATGGACATTTTTCTGTTGGTGATGACTCCCGGATGGACCACCGTGATCCAACACGCCAAAACTACGCATATTCCAACTGGGCTTGGGGTCATAACTTGTAAAAGTCATATCCGACGGTACCCCCTGGTGGAATATATGAGTGTTAATACAAATTCAATTCAACAAAAAATAAACATCGTAACACAAAGAAAAATTGAAGTTTACCAGTTGTCTTGTGGATTATGTAAAGTAGGAGAGAAATTGTTTCCTCGCTCCTCGTTCGCCGCGGAGATAAGTTTAGATCCGGCCAAACTCTTTCAGCCGGAACCTGTTGGGAAAACTGCTCCAGAATAACCACCCGATGATTGAGGGTTATCCCTGCTTTGCTCAATCTCATTTTATTGCATAACAACGATACCAGTCTATCATACTGCATTGTAAGTGGCAACTTAACATGACTCTGTGGAGATAAACTATAACTCACTGAGTTATTCGCCACAACAACCTCACCTCCCCCCCCCCCCTCCCCAATATAATGAAACCCTTAACATGTAAAACGATGGGCCTACTTAACATGTAAAACGCGGTTCATTACCACGCTTTATATAAAACGATGTAATGAACCGCGTTTTATGTACTTGTCTTTTCAGCTTCCTTTAAATCGTGGTTTGTTACCGTGTTTTATATAAAACGCGGTTCATAAACGCGTTGTACCTTAACGGTCCAAACGGACGTTGAGGTAAAATGATAGAAATATAACTTTTTTTTTTATACTTAAAAAAATGTTTTGAGTTAAAAAGAACAACATTTAAGTTCCCGCCTCTACATAATTCAGGGGGAAGAATATGGGGCCTCCACTCTCCCCAAGATTTTTCATGCTTTACAGTGCAGACATGTTTTATAGGTCAAAAATAGAGTACAGCTTTTATCTTATGATGATTTAAATCTGTTTTCCCACTTAAGGAAGTGTAAACTTGACGCCAGAAATAGATATTATGGTGTTATTTGCACCGGCTATTGTTTGACCTTGTGATTCTTGATTTCTGGACCCCATTTAAATATTAGCAACACTGTACTATGTGTTTGGACTGGTTTCACACCACATTGGTTATCTTTTTCCATTCTCATTTTAAAATTCTTGGTTCTACCTTAATCTCACTTATGGTATTACACCGAATTTGTTGTTGTTGTTGTTTCTGTTTTGCATTGGATTAACGAAACTTTTCGCTTGATTCAAAATGAAGCATACCATTTTCGATGTTATGCACTTAAACTAGATGAGTATAACTATGATAGGACTATGGTTGCAGCTAATTTTTTGGCTTCATTAAGGAAAGTTAGAGTAAAGTATATTTAATTTGGGCCTGAATTCATATGCAAGTGTGAAACAAAATAGTTTACTCTTCAAGAAAATTAGATAGGGCAGCAGCTTCAGAATAAATGTCTATGCTTTCGAGTAAAGCGTTAGAATATGATTTAGGTCCGATTCCTCTAGTTACTTCAGTTGAATTCCCTTTGATCATTTGTTAAATGTTCTTTTCGCACTAATAAAATAGCAAAATAATAAGTTTTTTTTTTCTCCCCTTTTTGATTTTCTGCTTTTGGTTGGCACTAATTGTTTTGGAATTCCTTCCATTTCACTTTGTCAACAAAGGAAGTAAAGCAAAAGGTAATTTAGACAAGTCCAAAGTTGACACTCGAAACATTTTCATTGCAACTCAGCTGAGTAGTCAGTCACGCAGCTAACAAACAAGACAAAATTAATGCATCCCCACCAAACCAAAAATGATTCTAATCATTTCTACCAAACGCAACCAATACTAACACATACACAAAATAAAATAAATAAGTATCAGTTAACTCTGTAATAAATTATTTCAAAAAATGCACGTCTTGTACATTTATTTGTGGTAATAGAACTGAAATTTTCTACCTTAATTCTACTATGCTCTACATGAAAAGAGACTAAATAGGTGGATAATACCAAGAGTAAATGCTCCAAGAGATCGTTTGTTAGGATGTATAAGAATAATTAGTAATGTTAAAATTAATTATGCTGAGATTATTTTTTATTAACTGTTTGGTTTATGTATTAAAAATATAAAAAGTTATTGTCTCCAAAAATACCCTCCGACAGTTTGGAAAAGTTTTTGAAAGGGCAGTTCTATCTTTACACATGCTTATCCATATATTAAGAATTATATGATATTTCTAATGCCATAATTTGCTATGTATAAAAACAATACTAAATAGGATGTATAGCTAATACATGCAGTTATACATAAAATGAAAAATACTAGTACCAAATAAGAATTAATAATACCAATTTAATATTACATATATTATTAATATTATTTTTCCTAATACATAGTATCAAACAACCCTAACTGCTAAAAATTCCTCCCCCCCCCCCNNATCTTTTCATATTACTTCCCCCCAAACCCCACTTTATTTTCTGGTTCACCTTTTTCCTCCAAAAACACTAACAAATGAAAAGGAAAACAACTGTGAATTGGCATATAGGAAATACTACTTGATAAAAAAAATTAAAAGTTACTTGCAAAATATTATATTTAAAGTAAAGATTAGTAGAATCTCAGATAAGATAGAATCTTAACAAAGAAAAATGGATTAAGTTATTTACTTCCATACTAATATGATTATGAAAATATTAAAAAAGGGTTTATTTTTCATAAAATGATACTCCCTCCGGTCCAAAATAAGTGATTTTTTGGTCTTTTTCTTGTGGTCCAAAATAAGTGATTTTTTCAGATTTCAAGAATGAATTAATTATTTTTTTCCTACATTGTCCTTGGAGTAAATAATGTTGGAATATGTATTAGAAGTGTTATATGTGAGATACTAAAGTTTAATATGGTCAATTCTATTACTATTTAATGCTAAAAGATAGATTTTTTAATCTGTGTGAAAACATGCAAAAGAACACTTATTTTGGACGGGAGGGAGTATTTTAATTTAAAAAGTACTCCTACTAAGGTGGAAATATATTATCTTTCCTCTTCCTCTCACTTCATTATTCTTGTGTTTCTCTCCTTCTTCCTCTGAAATGCTGCTTCTCTGACATCCTCATTCTCTCCTTCTGAATTTCATCCTTTCTCCTTTAGCTTCCACCTAAATTACTATCACTACTCTCTGTAACCAAAATCAATTCTTTACAAAACATAACCAAAATTCTTGAATTTTCCATAGTTATTTTCCTCTACAGTTCACAACCATGCCTGTACTATTTTCAGAAAGCTCAACAATTTCAGACCAAATTAGATACAGAAAACCCAGAACCCAAAACCAACAACATGATTTAGATCCAATTCCAATATTATCTTCTTCTACTCGCTCAAAGCCTACAATTTCCTCTCTACTTTTAGCACCATTTTCTCCTACAAGTCCAACCCATGAAAACCCAACAACAACCAGTACCACGTCTACAGTTATTTCCACTAAAAAGAAAAACTTTACAACATTTAGAGGACTGGGTTGTACGGCTTCATCTCAAGTGTCGGTTCCTGCTGTAATTAGAACTTCTGCTGACTGGGATTCCAAGAGAGTCAAGAAGAAAAAACAGAACAGTAACAAGAACAAATCCGTTAATTCTGCTGTTAATGTTAACGGAGGAGGGATTGGGTGCAATAATAATAATGGTATTCAGAATAACACGTCATCATCATCGAGCTGTGTGGGTGTTCCTGATGTATGGTGTGGTCCTGGAATTGGATTAACTACTGATGCTGCTTCTGTTGATTGTGTTGTTTCAAGAAGACCCGTCTCTGGCAGGGGAAGAATTGAAAATGACAAGGTTACCCCTCGAGAGGTACTGTTATGTTTTATTTTCTTGATTGTATATTGCTTCAACATGAGAATTGCTAGGCCTAGTTTGTTGACTGTTGGGTTTTACTTATCGTTCTTGGTTTCATATGTCATAAGTAGGGGTGTCAAACGAGCGGTTTGGGTTGGATGTGAGCGGGTCAAAACGGGTAATTTAAAAAACGGATAACATTATCCGACCTGACCCGTATTTGAGACGGATAAAAATGGGTTTATCCGGCGGATAATATGATTCTTTATCCATATTCGACCCGTTTTTAAATGATTCATTCTCCAACCCATTTTTTGATGGATAATATGGGTGGCCATTTTGCCACCTCTAGTCATAAGTATCTTTGAGTCTTAAGCTTTGGATTTGCTCTTGGACTTTTGGGGAACTCTTTCACCAGGTTAAGGCTTTGTGTAATAGACCCTTGTCCGTCCTTTCGCGGGACCCCGCGCATAGCCGGAGCTTAGTGCACTAGACTGCCATCTCTTTACCTCCCTGCTCTCTATGCTGTAGCATACGTCCTTTAGACTTGTCAATTGCTGATATTTCTAATATTGCATTTTACCATCTTTCCCTCAAAGAATTAAAGTTTTTGATTCTCAAAGTTATTTGATAAGTCATGCTAACTGATCCTACATAATAAAAAAGAAAAAAATGGTCATGCTTGGTTATCCTTCTGCTCGATCTCTCATTGTTAGTTCTGCTTGTTTTCCCCGCTTTTGTACTTCTTTGCTTCGTTGTGAAGTGTCATTAATTCATTTTCTCACCAGTTTCACTTTTGAATTTATGTTGTAACTTAAGCTTAATGGAGTCAGTAGATGAATGTTGAATATATAGTTTACGTTTTATTTTTTTATAAAGTTGGTTATAAGGTTTACACAAGTTAATTCTTGCAAATCTAACAATTGTTTCCTTTTGTTTCTGTACAGCGATCTACATGTCCTGTACGAAGAATGGTGAGCCCAGAAGACAACCCTTTTCTGGATATAGAAAGTAGCCTTGGTGTGCCGCGATCCCAAGTAGAATTATTTGCATCTAGGCATCATCGACATTCTCGCCATGGTTACCCGGAAGGGCTTGCTGAGGTGAGTTAATACATACTTTACTGCCACACAGATTTAGTTATATCTTGCTGCTTCACTGCCTTTTGTCATGTAAATTGCGAAGTTGTCATTCGTGCGTGAATGTCCAAGTAAAAGTTAGTTTTCCAGTGCTCGGCAGCATCTAGCCATGATTCCACTGTACCTAGCTGAGCAATGGTCTTGTCTCTTAAAAAGATCTTTTAATTCTATAATTGTTATTTTCTTTAGAAGGAAACAGTCAGTGTTAAAAATAGCGTGAAGCGAGGAAAAGCGACAACCCCCATTTCACGAAAAGCGAGAAGCGAAGCGCCCGCTTTTTTGAAGTGAAGCGGAATTTTAAAAAAAAATTAAAATAAATATGGCATAGACAACACATGTAATTGTAAGAAAGGCAATAAGAACTAAGAATAAAAAATATATAATTTGGCAGAAATTGGTAGAATCTGGGCAGAAATTTTCTGGAAAAAATTCGCCAGCACTTCGGCGCTTTTTGGATCTTTAGAAAGAAAAATAAAAAGAAAAAGAAGAAGAAGAAGAATGAAAATAAAAATATACCTGTTGAAACTTGAAAGCTGTTGTTGACTTGTTTAATGTTGAAGAAGAAGAAGAAGAAGAACCCTAGTTTGCTTGAACAAATCGTTGCTTCATGTGAGGAAGAAATCGTTGGTTTTTTTAGGAAGAAAGGGCTGGTTTAAAACCCTAGGTTGCTGCTAAAGAATGAATAAAACAGAAGACTCACTCGATTTGGGTCTTTTAATTGAAAAAGACTCGTTTGGGCTGTTTATTTCAAGAAGCGATCGCTTCTTCCGCTTCTTCCGCTTTTCCCGCTTTTCCCGTTTTTGGTAGAAGCGACCGCTTTTCTATACCTGAGTCGCTTTTAGTACAGGTAGCGACACACCCGGCGCTCCGCTTCGCTTCTCGCTTAAAGCGAGGAAGCGGTCGCTTTTTTGAACACTGGAAACAGTATAAGGGAAATAGGTTTTTGCACAACTTTTTGTCCAGATTATTGCTGGAAAACAGCAATCTGAACAGCTTGGTATAGAGGCTTTACATGCTGATGCATCCTGCTAACGATTTTTGCCTTAGTGTTTTAAATATGTCTGGTTAGCTAGGAAAATGCCCAGCATGTCGTTTATTGACTTGTTTAAATTAGTTGTGAGTGCCAAATATAATTAAATGAGAGGTCATGCTTAGCCCCACAAGGAAATGCTCGTGCTCCTTTTATCACAGGAATCGAGCATCATTGGCTCAATGCTGTCGAAGTTTGATGCTATAGTTTAAGAGACATAGTAAACAAAAGCATTCTCTTTTGGAAAACGTCATAAACTTAATCTGATTTCTGTCCTTCGAATTGCCATGCCTTAAATTGCTTTATGATCTTAATATGGTAAAGCCGTCTGCGGACCTAATTTAATGGAGTATCCTTGTTTAAGAGTTGAGGAGAAATGCACAATGGGTTAATGTGTATGGACTTTGGGAGATAATGTTTGCTTAAGGTTCTGAAATGTGATAGTCTGCAATACTTCGTCACTGTAATCTCCTGCATTGTGCCTGACTGCCATGGATCAACTGGAACCAATCTTAGGGAGATAATATGCATGATCTTTGTGGGGTGTGATTGCAGATTGTGATGCTTCAAAATAGTCTTATGGGAGGAAGGACAGTTGGTCTTGATCGATATCGGGACTTGAGACTTGACGTGGATAACATGTCATATGAGGCAAGTCATTCCCTTGTCAATCTAGCCACCTTTTAAATATATCTCATCTTCTCATAATCAATGATCACCCTTTAAATAAACAGGAATTGCTGGAACTTGGTGATAAAATTGGATATGTCAACACGGGATTGAGAGAAGACGATATATGTCGATGTGTTAGAAGAACCAAGCCCTTCTTTTTGAATAATTTATCTCTTATCCGCACAGAATTGGAAAGGAAGTGCAGCATCTGTCAGGTTTATTTCTAAAAAAGGAACTCTTTAGACATTATTTTCATTACTTGCTCTTCTTGAAAACTTATTTTGGTTTTTCTAACAGTTGACCTTTGTCCTTTCTGCTTCTCCCAATACAGGAGGAATATGAGGCCGAGGATGAGATGGGAAAGCTGGATTGTGGACACTTCTATCACATTCGTTGTATAAAGCAGTGGCTGATGCAAAAAAATAGTTGCCCCGTTTGTAAATCTGCAGCTATGTCTAATGACTAAACATCAAAAACATTTCCACCCCTCATGAACCTGTTGTTCTTTCTGTATAGCTTCTGTTGTCATTACAAGCTAGAAAATTCTTTACAGGGCGTTTCTATCCTATTTTATTACTGAAAATGATGGTTCTGTTGTTTGAGTGGCAATCCAATATGGGTTGAAACGAGTGGTACACAATGTATTAGCCTTCTTGTTTGAGTACAGGGTTGAATGCTACAAAATCTACTACAATTAGTTTTACATGTATTGCAGATGAGTTTTATTCTACGTCAAGATTGGTTGGTGCTTCATAATACTATTCAAATTTTCATGGCAGTTTAGTCCGTTTGTTTATATTTGCACCCCAACACCAAACCCCAACTTTATTGCTAGAGGGGAAATCATTGGATGAAAATAGATGTGAGGCTCAAATTGACAAGTGCTGCATCTGGTATATTTATCTTTATTGAGGTGGGTATTTTGGTCTAGATAATGGAAAACTTGACACCATCATGTTACCATTTAAGGAGTGGGCCATCTCATTAGTCATATTAAGTGAAGTGCATTGAGCTTTCTCAATAGTGGGTCAGTACCAGGCATTCACTTTCGCGAAAATAAGTGGACCTTGATTCCTACATTTTGTGATCAAGATTTGTGGACTGGGAGGCGGGCACGATGTCAACTCAATATCTCTATTGCTATAACAATGAAATTAGAGCAAAATCAAAATGGCCATAAATGCAACTGCTCTATGAATGAATTTTCTATTTCATGCTTCATAACTGCACATCTTTTACCCACAATAGTTCCTAATTATATTTCAAATGGAACTCAATGTACATACTTATCACTAGAGTTGGATTGTGTGGCTACCCCTCTTTACACCCATTTCATGTCCCATGCATCCAATGTAGGAATAAAGGCTAAGCTTCTTCCATATTGTCACTGTGACGGAGTTAATCCATCGATAAATGAGTTAGTAATCTGCTACAACTTCACAGGGCACTGGTTGCGGAGGATGCTACACTCTATCATGTCGACTGAGGAATTCAATTATATATGGATATACTTGATAGAATGCCTGCATTTAGAACTTCATCTCCTTAATAATAGGTCCATTTAGGTTAATAAATTTCCAGAGGTAGAAGAGAGCATTGCATCATGTCCATCACTAACTTATTAGTAGTAGATTCGGAAAATATTAAAAAACTAATTTAATATCACATACCATTCGTCCTCCGACTAGATCATAATGGCCATAATTTGGACCCCGAGGTTCACCAAAAACTTTATACGTGACCAAGCCTTCAGGAATCAGCTTGGCAGTTTCTAGTACGTTAACATGGCAGTGAAAAGTTAGCAGTCAGCTTAAACAAATGACCGGAAGAAGGTAAATATAAGAGTGAGCATGATAACAAATCACAAAATGATAATATACCATACACAGCTTCAGGAGGACAAATAAGGTCTCTGTCCCCTGCAATAGCTAAAACAGGCACATTGCTTTTGTGAAGATGGTCCTTGTATAAGAAAGTCCCACTTCTATTCCTTAGACCACCCTTTTGGAAGACTGTTGATAGCTGTGACAGAAGTTTAGCAGGAATAGTGCCTGCATAAATGTAACCATGTGATACTCCATAAATGATAGCCGAAAAAGTACTCAAAGAGTTTCTTTTATCTATTTTCTTTCTTATTTTCTTATTCAGTAGGGAGTGCTGGGCAGTTTGGAGGATGCAACATTTTAATCTATTGAAGGCTTTAAGATAGATGTTAGGTGTGCAAACTGCAAAGCAACATGTTAGCAATGGTCTAATGGTCTCAAAGACAGTTGATGCAACACAACAGTTGACAAACTCAGTCAATTCATACAACAAAATGCTTGGACGGGGATCTGCTTGACAGAGAGTTGGTATGCTTAAATTTAGAGTAATTTCAGAAATAAATTCTTTTTATGCTTTTTTGTCTACAATAAATGCGAGTGTTTTTTAGACTAAAGGTTTTTAAAAGTTTTAATGGAGTACAGCACAGAGTAACAGAAACATAACATTATAAACTATCCAATTTCAACTGTGCTGATGTCCTCAGGTAGAATATATGCGATGACACCCAAATGATTGGAGGAGTAAAACGTTAGATTCATTTGTGCAATGACATAGCAGTCCATGATAATCGTCAGCCGTGGAAAACTAAGAAAGTGAAACAAGATTTCTTGTATAATAACACCTATCACAGGCAAATGCTTCTACGAACAGTGTGAAAAAACTTGATTGCCTGTTGGATATTGCTGTTCTTGTGTAATGCCGTACAATGATACCAATCTTGTTTAGGATGGAGTGCACTTGTTATCCCAAGTCAACAGTTCACCTAAGATGGAACCAATTATATCATTTCCCTTTAAGGCTTTCACCAGCAGGAAGCGACTAACCATAAAAGTAGAGAATCAATAAATAGAGCTGACAAAGAAAACAGCACAAGTCAATCATGTTTTGCATCTCTTCTCAGTGATGGTTATGATCTTTGACGAAGAAAGAAAACCAGCTCATACTTACAAAAGTTTTTCAAGACAAGTCTCTCAAACATTTCCGGATGCATCATATTTTCCGCAGATATCTGAGGATTTAACCATGATAAGAGATAGGGAGGATGAGATGCAAGAGGATAGATGGCTGCGAGTAATGCTCCGAGTGGAACAACTGGAAGATTCACAGCCTTTGCAGGATCTACCTGTGCATCCACCAACAATTAAAATCCTCTTTTCATCACATTAGAGATAAGCAAAGGTTGCAGTCTATTTGAAACCCTAAAGTGCAGCACACGATCTCTTCCATTTTACTTACCAAGGGTAAAAGCGTTTTCAGGGATGACCGTGAAGTAGTGTAGTCCAGAGATGAACCCAAAGTGATGACTGATGTCAACTCGGTGCACTTTCCTCTGGAACCTGGTAAATTGATAGACAGTAAATTAGATGCATGTTATATACTGCATGAAGTGACATATCTCGTCCCTCTTTCCCAAAATGTTTGGCGGCACTTTTCTCTTCCCAAGATACACACTAAATAAACTTAGACCTAATTTCACCATTTTGATATGAGGAGAATTGCAACTTATAGTACTCATTGTAATCTTGAGATGAATTAGTCTACCCTGATTTTAGCTCTGAGATTTAGTCAAATTGACTCTCGAGGAGTAATTGTTTAATAATAAACATACTGCTAGTAATCGTTCCTTTTGCTGAATAAAAAACCAAAGCACAATCCAAAGGATTATTTGTCTACCTTGGGCTACCTTTTTCCCCCAAAACTAAGACTAGAACATACAAGAGTAGTGGTGGATCAGAAGGTGTTATACCATTTTGTGAGAGCATTGCATACAGCAAGATACCTCCCATAGAATGGCCAATAGCGAGCAACTTTCCGTCCTTCGGTCTACAATGGTTCCTTATGTAGTCCATCTACATAAACAACAACAGACGCACTAACTAGTAACTAATGCACGTCAAGTGCATAAATATAATAATCTTAGAAAAGCTCCTGTATTACACGCGGAGATAAAGACCAATCTATTCAAAATCCATGCCACGAGATGTCACCTCACCGCTGTAGGCACATCTTCTTCCAAGTAATGATCGAAGTCCCAGTTATACTTCCCAATCAGATGAAGCTGTTTCAAGAAATCTCCTACTGTAATAGAAAAGCGGCTTTGCAAACCAGTAAACTGAGAGATTGGTTGTTGACTTTCCTCAACAATATTTCCAAGTCCGTGACCAAATTCCCTAAGTTGGCTTGAAATAGCAGACACTTGTGTTGCATCTTGTAATCCTGAAATTTTTACCCAAATATGATTGTGATGGCAATGAAACCGCCTTTTTAAAAGGTTTTACATTTTTTCCCAATTGCTTCCTGATTGATTTTGTATGCTAAGGGATAATTAATCCATTAACACTGACCTTCATCTCGACTAATTTTTGCGCTCAAGCCAGCTCCTCGAACTTCAAGAATCCAAGTATCAAATCCTTGGTGAGACATATATCGTGCAAAAGATGACTGCAAGTAACCAAATTTTTGATTTGAAAGTTAAACCATCAAACTGACATCTAGCTAAAATCAAAGACAAACCAAAAACTGGGAAATCAGAATAAAGTTTAACAATGACCACATCAGCTCACACAGATATCTTTTGCTTGTCTCTTGCACTACATATCGATGAAAGCCGTAAGATCAATCTAAGAAAGCAGAAAAAGCACCACACCCTCAGGTATGATGAGATGACTGCACTATGTAATTAGACAGGTACAGAGTAGTGTACGTTTACGATTATAAAGTGTGAGAATCTATCTACGGAAGCAAAGATGGTATGTTATTTTTCACTGGCTGTTATAAAATTTGGACATTTAAACAAATAGATGTTAAACATGAAACAGCCATCCCATTATTCGAGGTGAAAGACAGGAGGATATGTACTGATGTTAACATATCTGTTATTAAGAGAATAGGTTAAAACCAAATAGTCTATCCGCTGTTATGAACAATGGACTTAACATACAAGTTACTCTGCTAATGCATTAGTACAACAGGACAAAAAGTGTGCAAAGGAAGTTCTTGAAGTTATAAGCAATTACTCTATCATCAACAAGATGCCCAGAACTTGGAAAAAGGACTAGCCGACTGGGACATGTTGAGGAGGAATAAAAAAGCAGACTTACACCAGGGGCAAGATCATAGCCAATGGCATTAGTGCCTACTCCGGACAACAATAACAGAGGATGATTCCTGCGGCTCCGCTGCACACACATGTTCCCATTATATCTATACATATTTATAATATTCGGAAGGCAAGGGGAACGAAGCTTTCCAAGCTTAATATATAGGAGTATGTTTTTTAGATTATCTATAAACAGTTCAATTTCAATGTAGAGCACCTGTGGTGAAGGCAAGTAGCGCCATAGGGCGAGTTTCCATTCATTGTTGGGAAGCGGAACGTAATGAAGCTCATCGGCCGTACAAACAGAGGGCTTAGGGCTGGTTCTACCACCTGCGCTACTACTGATGCAGAGTGGCCGCAGGCTATGCGGTGGACTACCAACGGCAGCGGCGGGTTCTAAGGCGGAGAAAGACGGAAGGCCAGCCGGCGCGTGAATCGCCCAACGGAAATCCGATGGAGCAAAAGCAACCATTTTATTACACTAGTATTAATTTTTCTTGTATAGCAGGAGACGCGTTAATATTTGATGGTAAGCTGCGAATTTCCAAATTCTCGTTTTATTTATATTTGTTGCTATCAGTTTTCATCAATCAATGTGATAGTATCTTAAATGCATGCACATGTGCACGTGTCTGGTCCACGGGATAACAGTAATTCCTCAATCCCAATTTTAATTTCAGTATTTAATTAAATATAGAGTTTAAAATATCAATGTAAGGTGCACTATAATGCGATATAAATAGTAGTAATAAAATAATTAAGAAATGGTTAGAAAGGTTACATAAGGGAAAAAAATATCACATAAATTTGAAAATTACAAAAATTATACTAGTAATATTATCATAGATAAAATGGGTTGTGGAGGAAAGACAGTGATGAAAAGCAATTCCCAGAAAAAGAGTAGAAGAGGAAAGATGAAGATTACGTGAAAGAGAGAAACTGCCTTTTGGCCACAGCCTGATTCCAAATGACATATTGAGATATTTGATTTCTTATCCAATTGGTATATTAGTGAACCACGCAATTGAGTAACATTATTGAGATACTAACTATTTATTTTTATCTTTGTACAATTGTATGTTGAGTCAGCAATAGTTAGCATTAGTTAGTAGTTAGTATCACATGTATATATATGTTTAATCAAAAATTAGATTTTAGGTTAAAGCTTGAATTTAGAAGAACTCGGGTTACTGATAATCGAAAAAAAATATATAAAGAAAGAGATTTGAGAATAATATAATTGGAAAGCAAATAAATCAAAGTATATTCCAGTAGTGTTTTTTTCCCCTTACAATTGTTCGTGACTTTCCCTTTTATAGCCGTTTTTGAAAATACAGACTTTATCTTTCATAATAAGACAATTATGGGTAATTAATGACCTTAAATATTACGTTATGTAATCATATACATTAAATACATATTCTCTAACGTTTCTAGCATTTAATACTCATTAAATGCTGTATCTGGGCTCTTTTTTGCTGTCAGATTCATTCCTTTGACTCTTCTCGATCTTTGACCTTTGAATGTCTTGAATAGGTACAGGAGTTGAATTACTTGTATGAATGCTCGTGCCTTCTTTATCTAACTTACTCGTATCTATTGTTGCTCGTACCTGTTGCTGCTCGTATCCATTAACCAACCTTAATTCTTTGACTGTTTGACCAGTCTACATGTCATGACACGTTATCATATATATAAATACAATTTTTCCTAATACAGATAGTCCCCCCACTTTCCATTTATTCGTCAGTTTGAATATTTGGGAAGTGGAATTCATTAAAGGAGAATTTTTGTCACCATTAATGCTCTAGCAGAGTTGACGCTTCAATTATCACTTCCATTTAATGCTTCAGACACGTGTCATCTTCTTATTGATCGTACTATTTTGCAGCACTTTTTTAGGCTTTCTTTTCGGCTTCACTCTTTACGAAGTATCAGTTATCATCATTATGGTTCTTCCATCATCGTACTTTTCCTCTTTGCCAGTTATCCATTAGTATAAATATAACTTCTCTTCTCGTCTTGTTTCACATAAAGCGTATCAAACATTCTAATCTTTCGAAATCTCCTTATTATTTTCTGCTCCACTTCAATCTTCTCTGTCATGGCTTCATCAAATCCTAACCCTAAGAGAACCCCTATTCTGGATAGCTTCCCCAATGCTCCGATTAGACACAGAAAAGGGGGTAGACTCCGCAACCTTGGATCTGTTCGTAGTAATACTTCAACTCCTTCTTCTAGCTCTGGTCCCTCTTCTGGGACTAGAGGTTCACACTCTCAGAGGAGTTCTTCTCGTAATAAAGAATCTTTTGAGCTACTTCGTGAACCTTTGGTTGACGAAATAATTCCTTCTGAAATTTCCTTTCATCATGATAGAGAGTCTCTTAGAACTCAAGTTGCTTCTTTAGAGTGTGCTGATCCCTTTCCTACTCAAATCACAGAAGTTTTAGCTCCCATAGTTCGTAAGGACTGTCATTGGAGTGATTATTTCTCAATCATCATTCCCAACTCAAACCAAAGGATCACATCCTACTTAATAGGATTCTCCTTTGTTTACACATACCCCTTTACCCTAAGGTTTAAACCAGCCATTGACCCGGTTATTCTAAATTTTTGTCGTTTTTTCGACGTATGTTTGGGTCAAATTGGTCCGATTGTGTGGAGAGTTGTCGCCTGTTTGAGACACCTCGCTAATATGGCAGACGTTGAGTTTACTTTACCCCACCCAATTCATCTTTACTCCCCTAGGCTTTTTCGAAACGGCGTGTTTGGTTTAGCAGCCAGGAGTAAGAGGGTCTTACTGAATCCCGAGGATGATAAAGACCGTGGCTGGTATGCCCGGTTTGTTGCTGCTCCCACTGCTGGCTTAGTGGGTGAAAAGAACATTCGCTTCCCTGAGAAGTGGAATTTTGCACGTAAGTGTTAAATTCTTCTCGTGCCTTTTTAATTCCTAGGCTTGCTTATTTTTCTTAATCTTGCTTCTTTTTCTTTTCAGCAACCATGGGTGTTGTGGAATCTGT